AAAGATGAGTTTATAGTATGAAACTTACCTGGTGCAATTGGCCATGATGCATCTTTTTTTATCATTTCAAATATATACATTGAATTTATATCATATTGATTAGCTTCTCCTTCATATCTTTCTGCAAAAATTAGAGCACCAGTTGTTGCTAAATCTATCCATGCACTTTCTTGTTCACTTATTTTTTCACTTTTTTGGGGTGCTAAAGTGGTTTCTTTGAAAAATTTTATAGTTGTTAATGTATAATTTTCAGATTTACGCATATCAATTCTACCATTGGTTTTTTTAGCAATAGCTTTAGACTCATCATTAATTCTTTTGTATGTTTCCATAATTGTTTCTCCTTTATTTGCTTTAATAAAATGATATTTGTTATGTAATTCACAAAAATCTTCTTTAACTCCATACCATTTTCTTTTCCTATCATAAAACTCAAATCCATTTGCTATATTTTTATGAATTAAGATGGTTTTATCTTGGTAACTCATGCTATTTTGCTTTGAACTAGATGATGCAGAGTATCGAGGATGTTGAGCTTCAAGTCTTTGACTCATTTCTGATTCTCTTATCCGGGGGTCGACTGCCGGCGCACTTGCCTTTCTCGGCTGAAGTGTTAGTGGGTTTTCATCAAACGATATAAGATCACCTTCAGAAGTTGATGGCGGATTTTGCTCTGGAGTAATGTTTTCAGTTTGAGGTGTATTTTGCTCTGGAGTAACGTTTCCTACATTTTGCATTATAAGCAAAGCTAGTTGGCATTGTCCTTTATGAAGGTTTCCATTTAAATTCATGTGTTTATTAAGATCTCGAGTTTTACCAGTTCTTATTTCTCGATCACAACCTGGACATTTAAGTATCTTAGCCATAGTAATATGTTTTTTCAGTGTTTTTTATTAATATACCAGATCTTTTGTTTAAATAAAAAATAATTATTCATTTATTGTAATGTTTAGTGAATATATCGAGGGAGGTAAATATATCAAAAAGTCAGGGGGTAAATATACATGCGAATATATACACAATTCTGAAGAAGTCTGTGGACATGGGTGTCGACGTCCTGAAGGGTGTCATGAACATTGGAGATCTAAAAAACGTGTTTTATGTGATGATTGTGGAAAACCTACAGCTTCTGCTTGTGGACGTTGCAAAAAACATTCTAAAGGATATTATGTCATGCAATTTTATGCTCGACAACTTCAGATGCTTGAAGACCACCCATGACTCTTCGAGTCATCCTTCGGGCCTGCAAGACAATAAAATTTAACTATCTTTTTTATCATAGAAACCTAATTGATAACTAAAAGATTACTATGCTCTGCTTCGCTCCGCAACTGTGTCGCTCACACTTAAGGTGTATACTCCTTAGTGTTAAGAAACTAATTGTGAATTAAACAGATAACTAATGCGATGCTATGCTTCGCATTCGGAGTCGCTATGTTCCTCCAGTACAAAAAACTAAATAGAAATCAAATATGATAACTATGCTCGTCTTCACTCCGCAACTGCGTCGTACACCCTTAGGGGAGTGTACTCCTTAGTAATAGAAAGCTAAATAGTAATTGAAATAGATATCAAAAAAGTACACCAAGCGTGAAGTATATATAAAAATACACTATTCATATAAGTTTTTTATATGTTATATATAAGTTATATAAGTTATCAAGAATACGATAAAAATTTGAAAAAAAAACAAGAATGAATAGTGTTATCAAAAAAAACACAACCATGTACCTAAAAAGCCCACTTTTCTAATGCTATGTCGATATATATTCGAAGAATTATTATATAAGAAATTTCTATCTCGAAAACCCAAATTTTTAAAAGGTTTACAGCTTGATGGGTATAATGAGGAATTATATTTGGCCTTCAAATATAGTGGTAATCAACATTTTCAAATCATTCCATTTTTCCATCCACAAGGGCAAATTAATTTAGATTCACAAATTCAACGTGATTGGAGAAAGAGAGCACTCTGTTTTAAGAAGGATATAATTCTTATCACAATCCCTTATTGCATTATTGATTTGCTAACTTTCATCAAGTGTGCCTTGAATGCATTCAGTTATCTTCCAGTACCCACCTAGGAGGTAACATATGCTCTTCCTTAATATGCATTAATTTTTCTCTTACAAAAGGATGTTGAGGACCTGTTTCATCTAAATAATATAATACAGGCATTGGTGGATTTTTTCCAACAACAATTTTTTGAATTTTATGAAGGCTTGGACTCCATACTGGATCTGTTATTTTTCATTGTTCAAAGGGATCATTTTCTCATTCACCAGGAGCAAGTAAAAATCGAACTATAGTTCCCTTTGGTAACTGTGGCTCATCAGCACCTACTGGATGATAATACTTTGTTGATGGCTTGGAATAAACCCATTCAAGTTTTATGGCACTATTAGGGCTTATCCCAATTAACTGAGTTGGGGTGACATTTATATTATCAACAATTCTTCTTGCAAATCATTCATATTCTCTACAGTGTTCACCAGTAGGTAAGAGAAATTCTATCGCATATTGATTCTTAAAAACTCTTAAAGTAAAAAGTTCAGCATAACGATCAACTATTACTAGACTTGTATGTCTGAAGTGAGCCTTGATTCTCCTAATTTTAACATTATGCTTACCCATCAATAAAGTTACACTCCTCATAAATTCATGCCCTTTATCACATTGCAACAATTGAGGATATGTAAGATGATTATTAGAATTTTCATAAATATTTCTAAATGCATCAGCAACTTCTGAACTGCTCTTTGATGTTAAAAAAACAAAATCTTTATATCTATTTGCATAATCTATAACTAATAATACATAATAAAATATTTCATTATCTTCATTCAATAAATTTGTATACTCATCTTTATCATATGATATCTCAATTAAATCACATTAATGAATACAATTAGGTTTTGAGATTCTAGAATAACTAGCATAAGGTGTATTCTTTGGTGAAGGGTGATAAATTTGATGCATCTTCTAAGATTCAAGCCATTTTTTTATTATAGCAAGTGAAAAGTTGTATCTGGCCTTTATACAAGCATTTTGCAATCTTTCAGCATTTTGGTAATAACCTTCAGATTGGTAATATAATTTCTGCAAAACAATCTCTTTATCCAAATCATAAGCTCTCTGAGGACTAATATTTATTATGGGCTGTTCTATTCTTTTAGCTTTAACAATTTCCCTATCCAAATCATGGGCCCTCTGTGGGTCAATATAAATTACAGGTTTCTCCATTCCTTTGTTTTATTATAGTAATAAAAAACATGAAGGAGTTACAACAAACCAACCAAGAACTCTATAAGGTGGTATCGCAATTAGCTGAATCAAATAGGAATTTTGAACAATGTCTATATATCTTAGAAAGAATTATAGGTATATGAGAAGAAAGGATACGATATCTTGAAGAAGAGTTAAATAATACTATCGAACTATCTACACAAAACAAAAAAAAATTGTTAGAAGAAATCTCAAAACTAAAAAGAATCGTTCATCAGCTCGAAGAAGAAAATAAAAAGAAAGACAAGAAAATCTCAAATAAGGATAAATTAATATCAGAATTCGATGAACATGAAACAAAATTAAAAAATCGTATATAGGAAATATCAAAATCTGCAGGTAATACCCCTAAGGCACAAGATTATCAACATGATTAGTAGATGAAAAAAATGAACGTCTTAAATGAGAAATAAATATGATAAGGACTAATCAAATAAATAGAATTAACAAAATAACTCAGCAAAAAAACTGTATTACAGACCTTTTTTGTCAAAATTTTGCATTAGCATTATTGAGATATCGAGATAGGTTAGAACTTATAAATATCAGTGAGGCTCTGCAAAATGCAGAAGTATGGAATCTTAATGAAAATGAATCTGATTCTGATGAAAATTCTTTAGATATTTATAATCAAACTTTAGATATGGCTACAATAGCTGAGTTAGCCATTGCTATAGATGACTATCTAAATAATACAGCATCAAGTAGAATGATTTTGTCAAACCAAATAAAAAGAGCAACAAGATCAATTCGCTGAAAGTTTGCCAATCTGCAACAGGATCTTGTAAATGAGCAATGGAACTCTTTTTATTATATGCAAGAGTGTGATCAATATATGCAAGAGTGAGACCAAGCATGGCAACAATTGCAACAATGCCAGGCTGACTTAGGTCTTTGTGAATATAATCGAGACCGAATTTATGATAGATATTACAATAAATAGAAAAACCGAAAAGCAAGCCATATTAAATGGAAAATAGAGAGCATAATTCACAGCAAATAATTTTGAATATACAGCAACAAAATTTATTGCTACAGAATAATCCACTAAATATGGTGGAAGCAAGACGTTTATCTATATTAAAATATGTATCTACTCTTTTAAATCCGATTCTTCAATATTTTGGTCAAATGCCCCCTAATGATTACTGTGATATGATTATACAAGCATAGGCACCTGCTATACCAAATATGACAGCTCTTGAAGATGCAAATGCTGGAGATTTTGATGATGCTGTCAAAGTCGAAATTATGAAGAGTAAGATGGCAGGAAAATATGCTTCAGTACTAGCTCAAAATAACTTTGTAAATCCTGCAGTTAATATCGATAGTCCAGATACAATACGAGCATGGTTAAATAAAAAATATCAACGAGAAACAATTGGAACTAAGAATTTAGCTATTCAGAGATTAAGTCAAGAAAGATTCCAATCTTATGATACACCAGATACGTATGAAGCCAGAATCCATCCACTTATATTAGGTGTAGCAAATAATGATGCCTATGTCTTAGGGACTCTTAAGACTCATTTATCAGGAGATTGTAAGCTTTATAGTTGGATAAGAAATGAAAATATAGCAGATATTAATGAATTTTTCATTATATTGAAAAATATATGGCTCAAATGTTCTAGTTTAAATGAAGGGCAAAATTTCAATCAAGCACAACCAAAGAAAAAATTATTAGCGAAGCAAAATAATAGTATTATATCACAACCTGTATTCCCCTCATATTATGAAATGCAAAAATCCTTTCAAGCTATGATGGAAAAACAGAAGATTGAATCCAAAGCTGAGATTGAAAAACAGAAAGCCGAGATTGAAAAATTGAAAGCCGAATTTGAAACAAAAATGACTCAACAATCCAAAAAATCTTGCCCTCCAGTTCCATTCAAAGATTATGAACAAATGCAAGAATTCTATGAAGGTCAAGATGATCCTAGATGAAAAGATATTAGTAGAGAAGAAGCACTACAGTGGTTAGATAAAGCTTTCTCTTCTCCCATACCAACTAAACCAGAATAATTGTGTTCGTCAAATCAAAATGCTAGAATAGATAGAATAGAATCGAAAGTAGATGAAATCGGTTAAATGACATCTCAATTCAGGAAGATGATGCTTGATAACAAAAAACCCATAGCTAAATCAAATTCAACATATCGATACTTTCCTCCTCTAATACCTTTCCAATCCCAATATGCATCTCCTAATTCAGATGATAATAAGGATAAAGAAGGTAGATATAACGAGGAAAAGAATAAATGACATGCTCCATCTCAGTCAGAAAAAAAAAACAGGTACCGGTAAATGAAAAAATGCTTCTAGAATTTAGTCAGCCTGAAATATACGATAAACTATTACCAAAGCTTTTACTGGCAATGCATAAAATGTGTCAATCTCATATAGTCCAAGAAAAAGAATCAAAATCAGATGAATGGTTTTCGTCATTGCAATACTTGCATTGTAATATAAATGATCTATTGATCACTAATTCCTTTTTAGATAGCGCAAGTGAATTTGAGGGAGTAAATGATGCAACAATTAACACCCTGGGGTGGAAAGCTGATAAGCCTTCTGACTTTGCTGTAAAGGGCAATTCCAAACATATATCTGAATCATTAGGATGGTATACAGATATGCCAATTAGTGTAAAGGACAAAGATAGTAAGATTGTTACGTCTACTGGAAATTTTGCTCATATTAATAATGGTGAATCTGAGCCAATGCTATGCATAGGTATAACATGGATTCGAAAGGTTCATGGTGTTCTTGACTCTAGTAAAAACCAATTTCAAATGAAGTTACATGAGAAGATTTACACTATCCTTACTTTTAGTAAGCCTCCAGGGGTTAGTGAACCAGAATAATGAACATCAGATATGCATAATAGTGAAGACTTAAAAAAAAATATGATGCACTTAAAAAGCGACTTATAAAAACTAAAGAATGGCTTGATATGGCTTTAAATATAATAGATTCTGACAAACAAATCGATTTCTTTCTCAGACTAGAATTCCATTCCAAGATTCAAATCATATCAGGTAT